ATCTAGGAAACAGTTCTGACTTGAATAATTATATACATACACAAATACATATACACAAATTAGCATTACTCTTGTCTTCTTCCTTCATTTCTTTTGCAATCGTCCTCTTTTCCATTCTGTCTCTTTCCTTTTTAGTTTGTCTCTCTCCCTTAAATTATTATTCATTTCTCTCATTCCTTTTCAAATGCTTTATGTTAATAAACTCCAGACTTCCTTCATCCCCAAACTCCATCCATTTCCCCCAAAATTATTATTCAAGATTCTATATATTGAGTTAGCCAGCTCCATCTGTATTTGCACTAATGCTATTCTCCTATTCCCTTTGGAAATAAAGCTCAGGCTTCACTGACCCTAGAATTCTACAATTACGACTGAATCATTTCAGGACCAATTATTTGTGGCTCACTTTCCTATAGCCCTCTAAAAGAATCAAGGGCATTTAGGTATATAAATTAATTTCTTTGTACTTTCGGAGTACCAAATAAGTAATTCTTATCTGTAATCAAAAATTGAGTTAGAACCTAAAACATTAAACAAAGTGAGTTTTCTAGTGAATTTCCTTTCAAAGCTTGTATCTTGGATTCCAAGATGGCATATCAGTAATGGACTCGATGGTACGAGACAATTTTATTTACTTCTTAGATTTACATAAAAACCTTTAACTCTCCAAAGGAAGGATTATGTGGATGTAATCCACTGCAATGTCAAGGCACACAGCACCATTTGAAACATGCATATACCCAACTGGTAAAGATGACAGGCACACCCAATTTAAAAATGAATGGGGGTGGGGGGTATCAATCCAGGATCAAAGGTAAAAAAAATACAGTTGTGTGTGTGTGTGCCTGGAGCAGACTTCTCCCTTGAAAGTTTCACTTTGCTCTGCTTATGCAAAATAAATTCACTAAGACTAAAAATAGAAGTACGTTATCACTATTGAAAGGTAAGCACTATCTAAGGAAAGACTAAGATATTTTCCTTTCATCCGAGTAAAGTAAAAAGAAAATACAGTAACTAGTCCAATACTGTTTCTAGACTTACGGCAGTTTACATTTTTTTCTCCTTTCACAAGGTAATGGGGTTTTCCCCATTCCCATTTTAAAGATCGCTCTGAAAGTCACGGTGTGAATTTTCGGTACCAAATGGTGGCCGAGTGCTTTGCTAACTACATACTTTGTAGGAAAAGAATAGAAAAGGGTACAGACGTCAATTATTTAGAGTGTATCGTTAAGTTAATCTCCTTTACACTGTAAACAATTCCATTCCAGACCATAGGAATACATTATGCAGATTGTGTGGGCAGTGTACAGCAGACCACATTTCACAATAAGTCTTCCCCTTCCCAAACACTACCAAAAATTGGGAAATAATTCTAATGCTCTCAGCTCAAGATGAAATTGTTGCATACCACCAATAAAAGTTTAGCGCAATTTAATGAACTGATGGTTAATTGATCACAACTAAGCTCCAAAGATGAGAGGTTTGTCCAGCTCTATCTGCCCCTCCCTATGCCCAGCGATTCTCCCTCAAGACAGGCATCTCCGAGTAAGGACCAGACCCCGTCTGTGCCCGGGGAAGCGCAGGTCTGGAAACCCAGCCCGGTCAGGCCGCCTGGAGGCAGACAGTGTGGAGACGGACCGACGGACGGGACCGGACGGACATACGCCACAGGACGGACGGGACGGGCAAAGTAGTAATGCGTCCTACCCGGAGGGTTCCCTCCCAGGGCCGGCGGAGTACCTGCTCCGGTCATCCAGGCTGCGGTTGTCGGCCGCCGCGGCGCGCCAGTCGGGCAGGGTGCTGGCGCACAGCACCACCATGGACACGATCACGAACACCACGGACACGGTGGCCAGGATCTGAGCGGCCAGCGACGACGTGGGCTCCTCGAAGGTCCGCCGCATGCGCTCCAGCCAGCGCCGGGACGGGGCCGCCTCGGCACCCCCGGGGCGCGCTTCGTCGCGCCCCAGCGCGCCCGGCTCGTCGGCCGAGTAGAAGGTGTAGGTGTCGGACATGCGGTCGTCGAGGCGGCGCTGGCAGCAGTACTCGAGGTGCGCGCCCTCCAGGCCCCAGTAGATCATCTCGTTGTAGAAGGAGAGCTCGCACATCCGCGGCGCGAAGCGCAACTTGCCGTGGCCGCGCACGTAGAGCAGGATGAAGCCGAAGGCCTCCGAGTGCCGATCGAAGAAGTACTCGTTGCGCTCGCGGTCGTAGTCGTCGCACACCTCGAGCACGTCGCGCTCCGAGCGGCAGCCGTGCAGCCGGCTCACGCGGCGCAGCGGGAAGTCTTTCAGCAGCTCCCGGGACAGCGAGTACCGGGCGCCGCCCACGTTCAGCACCACCGAGGCCGCCCCGCTGCGCGCGAAGGTCATGGCTGGCCGCCCCGAGGCCTCGAGGCCCGAGGGCGCCCCGCCGCCGCGCGGGGCCGGCCGGCTCTGGGATGGCCGTCGGGGCCTGCGGGCTGCCCGGCCGGCTCTCCCACGGGGCTCCGCTGCTGCCCTTCGCCGACCCGGGAGCCCCTGGGCTCTGGCCGCCTGGGCAGCCCAGCGTGAGTGCGAGACACGCTCCCTCCGCGCGGCAGCACCTGCAGATGACCGGGGAGACCCCGCCAGCGCCAGGGCTGCACCCCTCTGGCCGAGGGCTAGGCTGTCAGCGCCGCCGCCCCTCGCGCCCAGGGGAGCCCCTCCGAGGCCCGGGTGCCCTCTTGAAGGCGGCGGCGCTGGCCCCTCTGAGGGGCGCGCGGGCAGAAGGGGAGCGCCGGGGCGGGGTGGCTCCGGGTGGCTCGGGTGCCTGGCGCGCCCTCCGGCCGCGGCGCCTGCGAGCGCCCCGCCGCCGTCCAGAGGCTGGAGGCAAAGTGAGCGGGTTCGGAGGCGGCAAGGAGCCGGCTCCGAGAGGCGGGGGCGGGGCCTCCTGGCGGTCCCCCCTCCTCGCCTCCCGGCTCCGCGCTGCTCTGCTCACCCACCTCCGCGCGCCGCCCTCCGCTTCCCGCCCGCGCCCGCACCTCCCCGGCTCGCTCGGGCTGGGATTCCCCGGCGCCCCGCCCTGGACCTCGGGCTCCCCGCTGGGTGGCGCGGGCCTCCCCTCCGCTCCCGCCCGCAGTGACCAGCAGGGGTCCGCAGGGGAGGGGTGTGAGAATAGGGGAGCCCCCAGGTGTAGGGGGGAAGCAGACCCCCTCGCCCTTGGGGGTGGCCCCTAGGTCATCCCGATGGCCCCGGGCGTGTGCAGGAGCTTGGGGGTTGCCCCCTCGGTCATCCCAAGGGCCCTTTAACAGCCCCCCAAAGGGAGACGACTGGAGGGTCAGGAAGGCTGAGGACTGGGGCGCAGGATTGGAGGGGCGGGGACAGACGGCGTTTGAAGAGCTTTTTTTCCAGAAACTATCCAGAACACTGCTGGGGTTCTGAGACCGCTCCAAAGATTTCTCAGAGAAGCCACCGCAGCAATTGCTTTTCTTGCCCACTTTGCTCTTCCTCTCCGGCGCGGGGATCGCGCACCCGTGTTCCGAAGGTGGCCGTGCACCCCAGCACCCAGCCTCTGTGCCGCCCTCCCGCCTTCCCTCCAGGAGAAAGAAGCAGCCCGAGCCCCCGCTTTTGGGGGCGCGGGTTCTAAAGAGGGAGCCTGGACTCGATCGTGACGCTTATGCAGAGTGGGGGAAAGTCTTCGGAGAATCGCCTTGCCACTGGCAGGAACAGAATTCCTCTTTGCCTTCCTATACATCCTCTTTTGCATAAAGTGTTGACTTTCCCCGTGCATCTCCGAGCGGGCTGCAGTCCCGGCCCACGAGCTTACGAGCTCCTAAGGCTCCGCTGGGCGAGCTGCCCTGCGCTCTGGTCGACGCCCAGGGAGGGAGTCCTACTTGGCAGGGGTTATTTTAAACTGCTACCAGCAATTTCATGAGACATTCGACACTTGCAGCCCGGCTAAACAGGTGAGTGGTCAGGTAAACGCTTATTAAACACAACACCAATACTGCAAGAAAAAAATAATCATAATAAGGGTGGGGTGGGAGGCGGTCATGTGGCCTGGGAGTAAGCAAACTGGTTACTCAGAAGGAAGGGTTCTACTTTGCCCTTCACTTTTCATAATTTTGTAGGATTGCCCCGTGCCCACTAGAGGTCACCATAAAGTCATTTGGTCTGTTTCTGTGTGGATTCCTAGCAAAAAGGCAGGCAACTGAAAATTAGAGTGCTCTGGGTGGTTTCTTAAAGAATGAAAATCTCTATTAGTTGTTTATCCCCAGATTTGGGCCGTTGGTCTTAATGTGATTAAAAGTTCAAAAACAGGCGGGTTTTTACTAGGTAGATTCAAAACCAGGAAAACACCCTAAAGGAAATGAGTTCCAAGAAGAAGCTAAGGAGATGATGGTCAAAAGAGTGCAGAGAAAAAGCAGAGTATTCCAAGTAGCAAAATGTCAGGTGCTGAGGATTCAGGTCTGTAAAGAAAGCTAATGGGTTTGCTTGACTGAAAGATTGAGTTGTCAGCTGCTGAATGTAGACTTCATTCTAGATGTAATGGGATCGCTAAAGGTTTTAATAATAGAAATGGCTTGATGAAAGTCTCATTTCAGGAAGACTCCTTTCCCTTTTGAATTACTGTAAGAACACCATTTCAGCTTCCCCAAAATGGGAACCCCCACTGCCAAGTCATTGTCCAGGAGGGTCAGTCCTGAAAAACACTGAAACCACGGACTTAGGAGGTCTTGGAAATGGATTCGTTACAGAACATGAGGATGGAGAATAGTTTGCAGTTGTTAGCTGACAGAAAAGCTTGGCTTCACACCAGCAAGAGCTTCACACCATAAGACAGATTAGCAGGAGTAAAGCAAACACATTTATTTAATGTAAGTTTTACATGACACCGGAGGATAGAAATGACAAAACCTAAATGCTTTTATACTAGGTTGAGCAAAGAGAGGCAGTTGTGGCAAAGTAAAATATGGAGAGGTTAAAGGAAGATCAGAATTATTTTAACAACTCCTCAGGGAGTTGTCAAAAATATTTTCCAGAAGCATCACAAGCAAAGGAAAACAGAATATTTAGTCAATTCTTTACTCCAACACTACTATATCTCCTGTTTTTTCTACCTGAAATCCCTTTAAAGTATGAAACAATGCCATTTTATTTATTTATTTATTAAATATTTATTTATTTATGCATAGAAGAACTGGGGTGCAGGCTAGAGGTATGGGGTGGGGGGACAGGAGAGAGGATTCACTAGAGGCAGAGTGGGGAGCAGAACAGGAAGATACAATGAAATATACTGCTGAAGGGAGCAGGTGAGACAGGAGAGGTCTGCTGTGCCATGTGGGTTATCTCTCTGGCAGGTGATCAAACTCAGGCCAAAGCAGTGATAGCAAGCTAGTGCTGAGACTTAACCCTATACCACCAGGGAGGCCCAAAATATTTTAAATTAAAGCTCAGCTTAGAAAATAAATTAATTTGTTGACAAGTTGTGCTTCCTAGGTTACATTTTCATAAAATTTCTTAGAGATATAGGTTTAAATGATTTCATTTATTTCAAGAATAATATTTTTTAAAGATTTATTTATTTATGCATACAAGAGCTGGGGTACAGGCCAGAGATGTTGTGGGGGGTGAGGGATTCACCAGACACAGAATGGGGAACAGAACAGGCAAACTGACTGAAATACACTGCTGAGGGGAACAGCGGGTGAGACAGGAGAGTCTGCTGCGCCATGTGGGTTGCTCCCTGGCAGGCCGGGGATCGAACTTGTGCTGCAGAGGTTGGGATTGCTTCATAGTGTGGTGCTTTATCCTTGCGCCACCAGGGAAGCCCAAGAATAATATTTCAATTTGATATTAATCTCAGCAACACTTGCTGCTGCAGCAATACCCAAATCATTTTTTTTTTTAAGATTTATTTATTTATACAAGCACTGGGTACAGTCAGAAGTGCGGGAGGGTGAGAGAATTCACCAGAGCCAGAGCAGGGAACAGAACAGGCAGAATGACCAAATACACTGCTGAGGGGAACAACGGGCATGGCAGGAGAGGTCTGTCGTGCCATGTGGGACCCTCGCCTTTGGCCGGGGATCGAACTGGCACTGCAGAGGCTATCGGCAGCTTCGCAGCCCAGTGCTCAACCGCTGCGCCATCAGGGGAGGCCCCCCAAATTATTTTCTTAAGCAAAGAAAATAGTATGATACAGACACGATTGGCTTTTCTTCTATAGTTTAGAAAGCACTCTCAAAAACAATTCTATTCCTTTGTACTTTGAGAAGAAGATTGTGTTGGGAATAATTGTTTCTCCATTCTTTTTTGGACTCTGGATGATTTTTAGGGTCTTCATATGTCAGTTTTCAGAATGTATTAAAATGTAAAGGCATCGAGCAAATTTTCAGAGTTTAAAAGAACTTAGATCTTTTCTTGCCTAAAATTATCAACCCATTTTAGGGTGACATCACAAGAGTTTTAGAGATTCTTTTCCAAGGTTCGCCAGCCAGCAGCATCATGGTAGAGACAAAGCTAGAACCAGGTTTCTAGGTGCAAACTCCAGTCGCTCCATCTCCAGGGCCTGGAATGCTACCACACCTTCCATCTGATCTCTCTGCACTCCAGCTCACTCTTCCCTCTGTGAATCCTGCATTATGCCAGAGACAGCTATGTCCATTGTCATCAAGTCATTCCTCCTGTTTCTAGAATCGAAAAGGACTATTGGTGTCTAGGATTACTTACTGCCCATTCACTTAAGCTGGAGCTGGTGCTTAGGGCCCTCCCTACATTCAATCTTGGCTGTGCAGCTTTTTTGCTAAATGATCTAGAACATACTCCTTAACTTCTTTGATCCTCAGTTTTCTCAACCATAGAATGGAGACAATGATATTTACATTAAAGGGGTCATGTGATGATTAAATGAAATGATGTGAAGGAGGCATCTAGATTTGCATGATCCTGGAGAATTCTCACTTGATATATGCTTCCCGTAGCTCAGACAGGCCCTAATGATTCTCATTCCTGAGTTTAAATAAATACAGACTGAATAAGTGAATTGATACATCTAAAAATATGACTAACCACAAATAAGTTACCCGAAATGTCAAAACTTCAGTGAAAAATCGTGACCTTGTACTGCTGGCTTTGGACTGAGAACAGCCCTCCTATCATTTTGCAATGGGGTGTACTCAGGGACTCTAAACACCCTGCCTGAAGTTTTACAAATTGAAATACCTGCAGGCACTATTGTTCCTTGCAGCTTACGTATCAATTCTGCTTTAAATAGCTCTCTCACTCTGCTGTTAATTCATATTTCCAAGTGTTTGTGTTTACATCAGTATATTTCTCAGCATCTTCAAAATCAGGGATATTTTAAGAAGTCAGCTTTTTAAGGCTTCCATCGTCTTCAATTTTATATAAAT